GGGGGTATACGTGGGTTGTATCCCCCCTAGGGCCTTAACAGTACACAAAAATATAACAGTCACACCTAATGAAGTACTCAATATTCTTTCACTGTCCTCGAGAAAATTAGACTTTGTTTTGTAATTAAAAATCCAAACTTTTGTTTACATGCAACATATATATAATAATATGAATATATGTTTATATTGAATAGGTATGGATGTTATAATCTGTATTCCCCCTCCCTAACCGTTGAAAAATTCTAGATACGCTACTGCTGAGAACATGATATTGCATGACAAATCAAGCTTAATAAAATAATGTAAATTTGATACCTAATACCATTTGGACAATACTATTAACAGTTTTTTGGAAGAGAGTATAGATTAAATATTAAACAAAATATTTAGAGAATATAGAACATTAAGAGAGAATTATGTGAAGTAGAAGAACATAAAAGAATATATGGTCAATATAAAAAATTGGTTATGATTTATTATTAATTTAATCTTATATATGAATTTAAGGACTTTACAGTAACACTGTTTTAGTTGTATGCTAATATAAAGATAGATACCTACACTATTAGTGTCACACGTTAAGATTGAGTTGTGAATTTTCGTTTTTTTTTAACTATCGTAATTATGTTTTCGTAAAAAATCGTCAGATACTATTAATAAACTATGTTATATTGTTTCGTTAAAAGTAATTTTATAGCTAACTTTTATTTAATTAACAATACCTCTATTTACATACTGTATTTTATATCGTACATGTTGCTGTATAAAATATTTACAGCATCGCATTTTGTAATACTCTAACTATTTAAAAATGTATTTTATCGAAGGAAATGAGTAAACTACATACTATTCGATTGAATGTGTTTATTAATTTGTTTTTTGTTATGAGCTCTAATATTTTGTTCACAAGAAAATCCTATAATATTTGAATAAACTATGTGTTTACCGCCATACGAAGTGTGTACGGCTTATCAGTTACCGCGTTATCATTTATAACCGAGTTCGACCTAACTATGCTAGATAACAATCGGCGTCCCTATCCCAGTCGTTTATCACTATTTTCTTTCATTTCGCATTTCGGATACTTTGCTGCTCGTGCCTCGTAGTTAATAATTTTGTATAATTAAAAAACTAGGTATTACAAATTTGTACTCAATATTTTTCCTTCAATTCAATCGTACGTATCGATTGGTTGCGAGTGCAGACGCCGGCTAGTATTTCGTATTGTACGTTTTTTTAGTCCCGATAGACCGGTGACTTTGGTGTGGACACGATTCGTTTACTTAATAAAAACAAAAAAACACTGGTCTTTGTCGAAAAGAAAGCTTTTATGCTATTACATCTTTTTCGTTAAACCGATGCGTTTGTGGTGTAAATACGGTATACTATTCGTACAAATATAATAAAAAACCTTATATTATGACTTGTACATTTTTAACATACCGGACATGAAATGGTGTACTCGTATAGTCTTGTCCGTGTTAAAGGTAATAAGAAATATGACATCACCAAATGTCACGTATTATAATGTTTAACAAATACGATATACGTTTTTTGGTCAAATACGATGTGTATAATAAACCTTAATTGTAAAAAAACGAGCATTCATAAAGGTTGTCGGTAGCCAAGATTTAAAAACTATTGTCGGCTTTGTAATTTAGCAAACCGTATATTTCACCATTCGCTGTTGTAAACGATAATTATACCGGATTACACATATTTGATTTAACTTTTCTTGTGTTAATCAGTTGTGATATGCTGAACAGTAAATTGAAATTTAGTTTACCCATTGTCTTTACTACACACCTGAATAAACAACATATGAAATGTTACACTTTTTTCTTGATTCGTATGTACTAATGCAACCAAGACGGTTGCAATGTTAACACGCTTTGACACACTGCTTATCGTTAGCTAAATATAAATGCCTCTGGTGTCACGCTTAGGATCTTTTTGGAATAGCTTGAAGGTATGTCCAAAATTTTGGTACCCTTTGACAGTTATGTTTGTCGTTAAAAAAAGGAATTGTTTTAATGTAAAACAAATGGCAGACCTCTTCGACACACTGCATATTGCTAAAATATTATAATATAGGTATTGACTATTATTATACTAAAAATGTACAGTTTTACTCACTGTTTGTTATTATACAAACAAGCTTAAGTTAACACTGAACCAGGACCAATTTTATTGTAACCTATAGCATAGGGTTACAAGATTTGTGTGTTCAAGAAGATCGACTAATTAATTGTAATTAATGGATGGAGTAACTAGATCAGAATGATGTTAGGAGTTAACAATTGAAAAATTATTCCTTGATTAAGCAATGTCAAAGTTCAGCTTTTAGAAGTTTTTAACATTTAATTTAAAAATTGGTTCCAGACTGTTAGGACAGTATTTTTAGCCTAAACAGTATTTGGACTGCTATTCTGCAACTAATCGGTAAAATAACATTATATTTAGAATTATGTAAAATTAAAACACAATTGATTTTTAGAATGAGTTTAATTTGTGCATGAAGTCTGTAAGTGAATATAATTTCTAAAAAACTGGAAGTCATAATGTGTACACAGTCTCTACTCTTCATTGAGTTCACAATTAAGGGTTCCTTAATGATATATGTATACTTATATTATCGGTGTTTTAACTTGCAAAAATTGGGTTCAAGGTAACTAGTATCAATTGTAGATACAACACATTCAGTAACATTTATTATTATTCATACTTAATTACTCATTATTTTTTAAAAACTGTTGCAAGCTGCCAATATGTATGACATAAACTATGCAAGGTTCCAGTTAATGAGTATTTTGGTTTTAACGGTTATTACAGACTATAATTATTACTGAATTCTACAAATAAACCACTTGTAATTTATTGTGGGGATGTAGGCACAACGGTGACAGGCCGGTGTCCAGTGGACAAACAGTTTTTTAATAAGTTAAATCATTGCAATTTTATATCTTTAATTTTAGCGATTATCAATTAAAGAATGCTAGAAAACTAGTACAAGAAAAAAAAAACAATAAAGTAATTTTTAAAAAAAATGGTTAAAAAAATAATTTTGGTTTGACCTACTGTATTTTTTGCATTATTTAATTTAAAATTTTTTTTTGAAAATAATTACAATCTGTATTTATATATACCATAAGTAAAATTTAGGGCTAATTTATATACAAAGCTGTAAGTGATATGTGTGACTTGAGGTACCTTCACAAACAACTAAAGTTGGTTGCAATTTGAGTCCAGACATAATTAGTATTACTCAATTTTTTCGGCGTTCTGAAAAAAAAAATTGTAAGTATGCCACTTCATCTTTTAACAATTTTTTTTTTTCGTTAATACTAAATTGATGTTTACAATTTGATTGTATGCAAAACATTGTATTGTACATTGATCTACTTGTAAAGCTAACATTGATTGAGTAAATTTCATTATCGTTTGTGAATATTATTTTAGAAACCGAATACCGAATACTTTTATTTAAAATACAGAACCTGTTTGAAATATTTAATGACGATTGTTTCAAAACATGTTCTGGTTATCCTTACCTGATTAATTTAAAAACAATAACACCTACTTAATGTTATCTATTGATAAACATGTAAAAGAAGTAAATATTTGGTTTAAATCACCTGGATCGTCTTTACAAACAATTTGTCTCAATTGTTATAGTATCCTTGTGAATGTTGCAATCTTTAAAAATATTTAATGTGAATCTGTTTTATAATTTTCTATTTTAATTAGATTAGTTAATTAAATACAAGTATAAGACATATTATTTTTACTCAATATATATTTTTGACAAAACACACCGAATGAGTATAATAACTTTATATTTATAATTCGATAAAATTATAATAAAATCGATTTTTAGAATGAGTGCAAAATACTCGTGCATATAGTTTAATAGTGAATATAATTTCTAAAAAAAATTTAGGTGATATGTGCGACTTCAGGTACCCTCTCAAACAACTAAATTTGGGTGCAATTCGAGTACAGGCATAATTAGCATTACTTAATTTTTTCGGCGTTCTGAAAAAACAAAACAAAAATTGTTCAGTAAATGAAGTGTCATCACGAAGCTAAATTATTAATCAGCTGTATAAAATAAAGGTGCATAAACGGTATTTTTAAACCCCCTTTTCTTCTTCTATTTTGATTTTAAAATGTTTACACTTTTAAATAATTACTAAAATTCGTTAATTTTTTTTTTAATTCACAAATCATTTTGAAGTAGTTAACCGCCTGAAGAACACTTAAGGCTAGGGAAATAATTGTAAAACGTCAAATAAAATGGACAGTTACAGCTAAAACGAAAAGAAAACCTAAAACCTTTACTTACATCTATTATCGCTTTTTCTGTATTTATCCGCTACGGCCGACTAGTGCTCACATAAATAAACTGTTTCACGCTGAAGGTTTGAGAGTTCCGTCTTGCTGTAGTCGTCCAATAAGTTTGGCTGAAAAAAGGGATTGTGAAAAACATATATGAGTTTATATAATTTATAGAATCTGATAGTTTTCTGATGTTTGACAGAACGCGACTCGAGCGTAAAAAAAGTCTACCTTTATAACGGCTTTGACAAGGAATTTGCACCTGAGGCCATTACCGGTGACTAAAGTGTTCGTCCGGTTCTTTTTGTATAGGACCAAGCCGTGTCATTTAAAAAATGAAACTTGTTACCGCGATGTTTGTATTTTTTTCCATAGTCGCTTGTTGTTGTCTCAAATGAGTTAGATTCACTTGCAGGTTCAGTGCTGTAAACCGACAATTATTTAATCAAGATTAGTGATTACCATCGGCGCACGAATATTGTAGTCGAACCTGAGCATTATATTAACAAATAGATGTTCAAGTAATAATTTCAAACAACTTGTTATTTAAATAAAAATTGCCCAGGTTAAAGGAAATAGTAACTTAATGCGTTACTATTTCACTCATTAGTGAAATACTACTAACGATACGTAAAGTTTATCTATAACATACTCACACTTCGTATGCATATCTACGAAACAGATACATCGGTGGTACAGGCCAGACGATCCAACCAAAATCACCCTGATGTACCCAACGACCATGTGACGAATTTCTGGTCGATAACCGTGGTCTGTTAAGGCACAGGAACAACTTTCCTTTCACGACATTTTCATCGATCTTCAACTTGTTGGTTAAATACATTCGTGTACCATTTGCTTGCAACTAAAAATCATTAAGGGTATTACAATTAATATTCATAATATATATATATTTTTATATATTTATTTATTTATAAAGGATAGGGCGAAGGCAACTGACGAGATATGAGGGCCTAATATCTTATACAAATGTTATATTTTCTTTTGTTACAATAAGACGTCACCTATAATGATTCATATTCAATAGAATATGAATTATAAAAAATGTTTTTAACCTTTAGCGACTTTTTAGAATTAATTTTTGATTTTTTTTTTCAAAATAATAAAAAAAAACGTAACGCACAAGCATAGCATTTTTACGTTTAACAGTACGACCAAGTGTTTAAAGCTTATACCAACGTATTTTATCAATACAATTGTCATCTAAACTAGACCTAACGAAACTACTGACTAAAAACAATTTTGACACATTTTTATATCTTATACTATATGAACGAACAGAATATATCAGTATTAAACTAACTGGAATTGTTTTGTTAAAAGTAATGCTCCACGGGTACGATGGTATTTAAAAAATGTACAAGCCGATATTATTCATATTCGAAGTATTAAAAACATAAATGTCGGACTTACTATTTCAAACGAGTTTCTCTCGGAGTCGGCATACTTATATTGTTGATCTGTGAAGCATAATGATCCACGCGCCTTAAAAGCTGAAGTCGTACGCACCATTACATCTTTCGTGAGACCTACGCCTTCTACTAACAATGTAATTTCGACGTATTGGTTTTTATCGACGATGGTAAAGTTGACAACGTTTGCTGATAGCACGGCATAAACATAGTCGTCGTGAGTATATTCGTGTTGAAGCCGAGATCCACCCGTGGCGGTACCAATGTCCAACCAAAGCGATAGCACTGCAACCGATATGACAATATAGATTTTGAACATGATGAATTGTTTTTTTGGTAGGAAATTCATTAAAAATGGGCAAAAGAAATTCGCGACCGAACGAGTAAAGTCTTTGTGATCGAATGACGATTGCCAGAGCTGGTGTGTGACACAAACCTCAGCCGACCCCTCTAGTAATAACTGTTTGGCAGGTAAAGTCGTCCTGACACTTATTGCCGTTTATTAATCCATCCTGCGAGAAACCCTAGTATTCATCGACCCTCCAATTTATCAACGGGTTCCGTTGATAAATATAATAACACAATTGATTTTTAGAATGAGTAGAATACTTGTGCATGTAGTCTAATAGTGAATATAATTTCTAAAAAACTGTAAGTGATATGTGTGTCTTGAGGGTACCCTCTCAAACAACTAAATTTGGATGCAATTCGAGTACAGGCATAATTAGCATTATTAAAAATTTTCGGCGTTTTGAAAAAAAAAAAATTGTTCAGTGAATAGTCGAAAGATGAAGTGTCATCAAGAAGGTATATTATTAATCAGCTGTATAAAATAAAGGTGCATAAACGGTATTTTTAAACCCCCTTTTCTTCTTCTATTTTGATTTTTAAATTGTGTACACTTTTAAATAATTACTAAAATTCGTTAATTTTTTTTTTAAATTCACAAATGATTTTGAAGTAGTTAACCGCCTGAAGAACACTTAAGGCTAGGGAAATAATTGTAAAACGTCAAATAAAATGGACAGTTACAGCTAAAACGCAAAGAAAACCTAAAACCTTTACATACATCTATTATCGCGTTTTCTGTATTTATCCGCTACGGCCGACTAGTGCTCACATAAATAAACTGTTTCACGCTGAAGGTTTGAGGGTTCCGTCTTGCTGTAGTCGTCCAATAAGTTTGGCTGAAAAAAAGGTGATTGTGAAAAACATATATGAGTTTATATAATGTATAGAATCTGATAGTTTTCTGATGTTTTACAGAACGCGACTCGAGCGTAAAAAAAGTCTACCTTTTTAACGGCTTTGACGAGGAATTTGCACCTGAGGCCATTACCGGTGACTAAAGTGTTCGTCCGGTTCATTTTTGTATAGGACCAAGCCGTGTCATTTAAAAAATGTAACTTGTTACCGCGATGTTTGTATTTTTTTCCATAGTCGCTTGTTGTTGTCTCAAATGAGTTAGATTCACTTGCAGGTTCGGTGCTGTAAACCGACAATTATTTAATCAAGATTAGTGATTACCACCGGCGCACGAATATTGTAGTCGAACCTGAGCATTATATTAACAAATACGATGTTCAAGTAATAATTTCAAACAACTTGTTATTTAAATAAAAATTGCCCAGGTTCAATCCTAGGGGATTAGCTTAAATAACAGGTATGGAAATGACAATTAAAATAAAAAATTGTCTTAATAAATAATCGTCAAATTTCAATATAAATTGAAATAATAAAATAGCATTGTAGAATCGAAGTCAAGGATTTTTCGCAATTATCTTTACGGGAAGTTAAATTTTTCTTGATCAACAAATAATTATCACCAAAACAGGAAGATATTATTTGAACTTGGTAATTATTTAATATTCCTTAAGTAACTTAATGCGTTACTATTTCACTCATTAGTGAAATACTACTAACGATATGTAAAGTTTATCTATAACATACTCACACTTCGTATGCATATCTACGAAACAGATACATCGGTGGTACAGGCCAGACGATCCAACCAAAATCACCCTGATGTTCCCAACGACCATGTGACGAATTTCTGGTCGATAACCGTGGTCTGTTAAGGCACAGGAACAACTTTCCTTCCACGACATTTTCATCGATCTTCAACTTGTTGGTTAAATACATTCGTGTACCATTTGCTTGCAACTAAAAATCATTAAGGGTATTACAATTAATATTCATATATATATATATATTTTTATATATTTATTTATTTATAAAGGATAGGGCGAAGGCAACTGACGAGATATGAGGGTCTAATATCTTATACAAATGTTATATTTTCTTTTGTTACAATACGACGTCAACTATAATGATTCATATTCAATAGAATATGAATTATAAAAAATGTTTTTAACCTTTAGCGACTTTTTAGAATTAATTTTTGATTTTTTTTTTCAAAATAATAAAAAAAAACGTAACGCACAAGCATAGCATTTTTACGTTTAACAGTACGACCAAGTGTTTAAAGCTTATACCAACGTCATTTATCAATACAATTGTCATCTAAACTAGACCTAACGAAACTACTGACTAAAAACAATTTTGACCCCTTTTTATATCTTATACTATATGAACGAACAGAATATATCAGTATTAAACTAACTGCAATTGTTTTGTTAAAAGTAATGCTCCACGGGTACGATGGTATTTAAAAAATGTACAAGCCGATCTTATTCATATTCGAAGTATTAAAAACATAAATGTCGGACTTACTATTTTAAACGAGTTTCTCTAGGAGTCAGCATACTTATATTGTTGATCTGTGAAGCTTAATGATCCACGCGCCTTAAAAGTTGAAGTCGTACGCACCATTACATCTTTCGTGAGACCTACGCCTTCTACTAACAATGTAATTTCGACGTATTGGTTTTTATCGACGATGGTAAAGTTGACAACGTTTGCTGATAGCACGGCATAACATAGTCGTCGTGAGTATATTCGTGTTGAAGCCGAGATCCACCCGTGGCGGTACCAATGTCCAACCAAAGCGATAGCACTGCAACCGATATGACAATATAGATTTTGAACATGATGAATTGTTTTTTTGGTAGGAAATTCATTAAAAATGGGCAAAAGAAATTCGCGACCGAACGAGTAAAGTCTTTGTGATCGAATGACGATTGCCAGAGCTGGTGTGTGACACAAACCTCAGCCGACCCCTCTAGTAATAACTGTTTGGCAGGTAAAGTCGTCCTGACACTTATTGCCGTTTATTAATCCATCCTGCGAGAAACCCTAGTATTCATCGACCCTCCAATTTATCAACGGGTTCCGTTGATAAATATAATAACACAATTGATTTTTAGAATGAGTAGAATACTTGTGCATGTAGTCTAATAGTGAATATAATTTCTAAAAAACTGTAAGTGATATGTGTGTCTTGAGGGTACCCTCTCAAACAACTAAATTTGGATGCAATTCGAGTACAGGCATAATTAGCATTATTAAAATTTTCGGCGTTTTGAAAAAAAAAAATTGTTCAGTGAATAGTCGAAAGATGAAGTGTCATCACGAAGCTAAATTATTAATCAGCTGTATTAAATAAAGGTGCATAAACGGTATTTTTAAACCCCCTTTTCTTCTTCTTTTTTGATTTTTAAATTGTTTACACTTTTAAATAATTACTAAAATTCGTTAATTTTTTTTTTAAATTCACAAATCATTTTGAAGTAGTTAACCGCCTGAAGAACACTTAAGGCTAGGGAAATAATTGTAAAACGTCAAATAAAATGGACAGTTACAGCTAAAACGAAAAGAAAACCTAAAACCTTTACTTACATCTATTATCGCTTTTTCTGTATTTATCCGCTACGGCCGACTAGTGCTCACATAAATAAACTGTTTCACGCTGAAGGTTTGAGGGTTCCGTCTTGCTGTAGTCGTCCAATAAGTTTGGCTGAAAAAAGGTGATTGTAAAAAACATATATGAGTTTATATAATGTATAGAATCTGATAGTTTTCTGATGTTTGACAGAACGAGACTCGAGCGTAAAAAAAGTCTACCTTTTTAACGGCTTTGACGAGGAATTTGCACCTGAGGCCATTACCGGTGACTAAAGTGTTCGTCCGGTTCGTTTTTGTATAGGACCAAGCCGTGTCATTTAAAAAATGTAACTTGTTACCGCGATGTTTGTATTTTTTTCCATAGTCGCTTGTTGTTGTCTCAAATGAGTTAGATTCACTTGCAGGTTCGGTGCTGTAAACCGACAATTATTTAATCAAGATTAATGATTACCATCGGTGCACGAATATTGCAATCGAACCTGAGCATTATATTAACAAATACAATGTTCAAGTAATAATTTCAAACAACTTGTTATTTAAATAAAAATTGCCCAGGTTCAGTCCTAGGGGATTAAGCTGAATAACGGGTATGGAAATGAAAGTTAAAATAAAAAATTGTCTTAAATAATAGTCGTCTATTTTCAATATAAATTGAAATAATAAAATAGCCAGCATTGTAGAATCGAAGTCACGGATTTTGCGCAATTATCTTTACGGGAAGTTAAATTTTTCTTGATCAACAAATAATTATCACCAAAACAGGAAGATATTATTTGAACTTGGTAATTATTTAATATTCCTTAAGTAACTTAATGCGTTACTATTTCACTCATTAGTGAAATACTACTAACGATATGTAAAGTTTATCTATAACATACTCACACTTCGTATGCATATCTACGAAACAGATACATCGGTGGTACAGGCCAGACGATCCAACCAAAATCACCCTGATGTACCCAACGACCATGTGACGAATTTCTGGTCGATAACCGTGGTCTGTTAAGGCACAGGAACAACTTTCCTTCCACGACATTTTCATCGATCTTCAACTTGTTGGTTAAATACATTCGTGTACCATTTGCTTGCAACTAAAAATCATTAAGGGTATTACAATTAATATTCATATATATATATATATTTTTATATATTTATTTATTTATAAAGGATAGGGCGAAGGCAACTGACGAGATATGAGGGCCTAATATCTTATACAAATGTTATATTTTCTTTTGTTACAATAAGACGTCACCTATAATGATTCATATTCAATAGAATATGAATTATAAAAAATGTTTTTAACCTTTAGCGACTTTTTAGAATTAATTTTTGATTTTTTTTTTCAAAATAATAAAAAAAACGTAACGCACAAGCATAGCATTTTTACGTTTAACAGTACGACCAAGTGTTTAAAGCTTATACCAACGTATTTTATCAATACAATTGTCATCTAAACTAGACCTAACGAAACTACTGACTAAAAACAATTTTGACACATTTTTATATCTTATACTATATGAACGAACAGAATATATCAGTATTAAACTAACTGGAATTGTTTTGTTAAAAGTAATGCTCCACGGGTACGATGGTATTTAAAAAATGTACAAGCCGATATTATTCATATTCGAAGTATTAAAAACATAAATGTCGGACTTACTATTTCAAACGAGTTTCTCTCGGAGTCGGCATACTTATATTGTTGATCTGTGAAGCATAATGATCCACGCCCCTTAAAAGCTGAAGTCGTACGCACCATTACATCTTTCGTGAGACCTACGCCTTCTACTAACAATGTAATTTCGACGTATTGGTTTTTATCGACGATGGTAAAGTTGACAACGTTTGCTGATAGCACGGCATAAACATAGTCGTCGTGAGTATATTCGTGTTGAAGCCGAGATCCACCCGTGGCGGTACCAATGTCCAACCAAAGCGATAGCACTGCAACCGATATGACAATATAGATTTTGAACATGATGAATTGTTTTTTTGGTAGGAAATTCACTAAAAATGGGCAAAAGAAATTCGCGACCGAACGAGTAAAGTCTTTGTGATCGAATGACGATTGCCAGAGCTGGTGTGTGACACAAACCTCAGCCGACCCCTCTAGTAATAACTGTTTGGCAGGTAAAGTCGTCCTGACACTTATTGCCGTTTATTAATCCATCCTGCGAGAAACGCTAGTATTCATCGACCCTCCAATTTATCAACGGGTTCCGTTGATAAATATAATAACACAATTGATTTTTAGAATGAGTAGAATACTTGTGCATGTAGTCTAATAGTGAATATAATTTCTAAAAAACTGTAAGTGATATGTGTGTCTTGAGGGTACCCTCTCAAACAACTAAATTTGGATGCAATTCGAGTACAGGCATAATTAGCATTATTAAAAATTTTCGGCGTTTTGAAAAAAAAAAATTGTTCAGTGAATAGTCGAAAGATGAAGTGTCATCAAGAAGCTATATTATTAATCAGCTGTATAAAATAAAGGTGCATAAACGGTATTTTTAAACCCCCTTTTCTTCTTCTATTTTGATTTTTAAATTGTTTACACTTTTAAATAATTACTAAAATTCGTTAATTTTTTTTTTAAATTCACAAATCATTTTGAAGTAGTTAACCGCCTGAAGAACACTTAAGGCTAGGGAAATAATTGTAAAACGTCAAATAAAATGGACAGTTACAGCTAAAACGAAAAGAAAACCTAAAACCTTTACTTACATCTATTATCGCTTTTTCTGTATTTATCCGCTACGGCCGACTAGTGCTCACATAAATAAACTGTTTCACGCTGAAGGTTTGAGGGTTCCGTCTTGCTGTAGTCGTCCAATAAGTTTGGCTGAAAAAAGGTGATTGTAAAAAACATATATGAGTTTATATAATGTATAGAATCTGATAGTTTTCTGATGTTTGACAGAACGAGACTCGAGCGTAAAAAAAGTCTACCTTTTTAACGGCTTTGACGAGGAATTTGCACCTGAGGCCATTACCGGTGACTAAAGTGTTCGTCCGGTTCGTTTTTGTATAGGACCAAGCCGTGTCATTTAAAAAATGTAACTTGTTACCGCGATGTTTGTATTTTTTTCCATAGTCGCTTGTTGTTGTCTCAAATGAGTTAGATTCACTTGCAGGTTCGGTGCTGTAAACCGACAATTATTTAATCAAGATTAATGATTACCATCGGTGCACGAATATTGCAATCGACCTGAGCATTATATTAACAAATACAATGTTCAAGTAATAATTTCAAACAACTTGTTATTAAATAAAAATTGCCCAGGTTCAGTCCTAGGGATTAGGCTGAATAACGGTATGGAAATGAAAATTAAAATAAAAATTGTCTTAAATAATAGTCGTCTATTTTCAATATAAATTGAAATAATAAAATAGCCAGCATTGTAGAATCGAAGTCACGGATTTGCGCAATTATCTTTACGGGAAGTTAAATTTTCTTGATCAACAAATAATTATCACCAAACAGGAAGATATTATTTGAACTTGGTATTATTTATATCCTTAAGTAACTTAATGCGTTACTATTTCACTCATTAGTGAAATACTACTAACGATACGTAAAGTTTATCTATAACATACTCACACTTCGTATGCATATCTACGAAACAGATACATCGGTGGTACAGGCCAGACGATCCAACCAAAATCACCCTGATGTACCCAACGACCATGTGACGAATTTCTGGTCGATAACCGTGGTCTGTTAAGGCACAGGAACAACTTTCCTTCCACGACATTTTCATCGATCTTCAACTTGTTGGTTAAATACATTCGTGTACCATTTGCTTGCAACTAAAAATCATTAAGGGTATTACAATTAATATTCATATATATATATATTATACATCGGGTGATCCAACTAATGTAAGACACTCATTTTCTCTGTAAGTATGAATATTTTGCGAATTTTTTTTTCCCTAAAATTTAAGGTACATATTTAAGTACATTTTTCAATATTTAGAAAAATTTTATCTTCAACTCTTATACGTTAAAGAAGTACGAACCTCGTTTTTTCAAATGGGAACATATGTTTTAAATTCCATAAATATAAAGACAAAAAATCTAAAAAAACGTTAGCGTTTCTATATTTCAATTTTCATCTATTTGTTCCCTGTTTATGACTTTGTAAAGATTTGAATTTTTTTCTATATTTCTTTATAATTTTATTCGATTTGACAAAGACAACTAGTTTTATTATGACGGCCATCACATCAAATGTAATAATAATTGGATGTTAACGCATTCCGTATCATAATCAGATATAACAAATAACCACACATTATTAGACGAAAGGTAGACTGTTACGGATAACGGACTTTACACTGTACACATCTCGGATAGCAATCTAGTATCTAAACTATGCATCAGTTACCACGGAATAATCGAGTGACCAGTAACTATAATAGTTTTTATTATTTGTACAAAATCGCATTTTATTTATTATTTGTACATAACCTCTATCGCTAACAAATTTTGACTTCACAGTTCACACGTTTTGCATTTGTGAAATGAGAAATTACAAACTTAATTAAAAAATGTTAGTAAATTTAAATTTTACTTTATAGTAAATATGATAGCATGCTTATTGTAGTTATGTCATAACTGGTTATTTTATAATTTTTTAAATATATCAATTGATAATATTTGCTCTCGACTTTATTTTGACGTTACATTCTTGGACACACCATTAATTTAATAGGTAAGTTTATTAGAGTTTAATGGGTAATTTAATACAATACGATTTCAATTAGCTTTTTTATTTTAGGTTGAATGCTTTTTTACTGAAAATATTTCATCTTTTAAAAACCAATGTTATCATGTCAGAAAAATCAATGGCGTTGAGATTAGGCTATACCAATTACTATGGAAATGTCTTTTCAATTGGACCCAAGACCTTACAATTATATATCAAGGTGTAAATTATAAGTATAAAACATTTATTTCTAATGTGACATTTTTTCATGTGAATGTATAATATCATCACTAAGCAATTTGAATGAAAAGTGTGTTGTGTTGTGTTAACTTAAAATAATTATTAATGCATGTATTTGTGTATGTGGGTTGATAATACTCACATACCCGTTTCATTTATTTTTAAAAATATCAGTAATTAATGTATGCATTTCATATTACTACATACAAGGAAACACTTCTTGATAATACCATTATTGTTTTTTATTTTATTTTAAGCCTATGTAAGTATATTATTTTTATTTGATTAAACTTATCTAAGGTAGTTCAAATGTCTGCTTTCAGTTTAGTTATTTCTTACAATGAGCTAACCCATATATTGTGTGTTTAACATACATTACGGATATTTGATCATTAAGTTTTAGCTATAACTGACACGGGTATTTGGCTATCAAAGTTAAATTTTATATCAAATTTATTAATATACAATAATTCTCTCTTTGAAAAGTTGTAATTCTATTAATTTGTATTTAATGAATTCAGTAAATCAAGTAAATTATTTTTTTGAATTTGCCTAAGATAATTAATGTTAATTTTATTTTTGTTAGATTTGTTTAGTTACCAACGTTTGTTAAAAAAAAGAAATTAAAATCAGTATAATAGAAGTTGAACAATTTCAATTTCAAATTTATAGTTATTGTTTTTGTTTCATATTTTTTATTGAATATTTTAAAATAGTAACATTTGTAATTTTTAAATTTATTGTTATATTAATAATAAGTTTATGAATAGTTTATTAGTTAAATACTTATATTATCAGACAAAAGAGTATTATTGTTCTTTAAATGTTATACTATACTATCTATTCGTCGTTGAAATTTATCAATACAATTGTGTTATCAATTTTTAAATTTTGTAAAGTCCACACAGCAAAAATTAATGCAAATTGTTTTTAAATCTTTAAAGTAGGAAAAATGTTGCAAATATTCTTTTAACCATTATTTGTATCATTAAATGTAAACAAATTTTATTTTTAACAACTATGCATTATAAGACATAAGTCAGTATAATTTATTTTATAAATATTTGTATTTATAAATGAATGTAATAAACATACATGTATGTGTATAAAATCAGACAAACTTGTCGCGTACAAATTCCATAAAATTTAAATCCTCAAAAATGAGTTTTATTACAGAATAATTATTAAATTTAGAGACTACAATTTAGCAAAGGCTATTTTTGATTTAATATTGCTACTTTTACATAATCTTAGTAAAACGTACCCGTTATAATAGTTTAATAATGTCAATACTTTAATTTGTTTGGTAAACAAGGAAACATCACACAATGGTTTTCTTTTTAAACAACTAAAATCTATTAAGCTTTTAATTTTCAAGATATTAAATAGTGAAGAAAATAAGAAAATACTGATTATAAAATCAAAAAAGCGGCTTCAACTGTAAAAGAATTAACTGTTCAATTTAAAATTTTTAAAACAGACATATTTTATTATAAAGACTTTAGAATCACTATTACTATAACATTATACATCTTATAAGTTATAATAATAGTTAGTAAGTACTAATAAAAGGATTAGAAATATATAAACTATTTAATTTGATTTGTAATTAATAAAATAAAAAAGACAAGTTCTGATCATTTAATATTTGCGTGACACAAACCTTAACTTTATTTCTGAAAACAAATCACAGGTGAGTTTGAGTATCATTGTATGATTTAGTGTAATTGAGTCACAAACTTTTGGTCCATATTTTTATTAATGGGATCTAGATAAGAAAGTAACTTACTTTAAAAAAAATAAAATGTCAGTGTTGTTGAAGAATTTACCGTTACGGAAACAAGAAATCTTAACACTGTTTAAAAATATCTAGTCTTAGACTACTTAATCATTTAAACACAGTCCACTTGATTGCATTATTTTATTAATAAAGTTGTTTATAAAAAAAAAAAAGTTAGTTATAAATGTAAAATAGGCAACATTTTAAATATTTACTGTAGAATTAAAATAGTAAGCAATTTAAATCTAAAATTCCTTATTTAGTGTAAATTGTTTGAAACAATTATTTGAGCACAAAACATATTTTGAATAAATTCAATATAACTAAACAAATAATAGTAACACTTCCCGACGATTGTCCATTTAATGTATGCACTTATGAGATTGTAAGCCAAATTTTAAAGCTATTGTTTACTACCTATAAAAACTATAGACATTATAATTTTCATAATAGCCTAATATTAATCTGTTGTACTGTGCCGTCTGTGCTGTTACTTTTTGAATGTAGAATATAGATAGTAGAAAAATATGATAACTAGTTTAATGATAACACAGATATACATAATATTATATATATCTATGAATGATAATAATATTATGTATTATCATCATAGTAGCAGTTATCAACCTACTTGTACCACGGTTTTTAGTTGTTGTGGTTGAATAGCCATTCGTTAGCCGCTGTCAATATAGGTCTGTCAACCTACCTATCATGACGGTGTGTTAGAAAAGTCGGTAATCTGTAAATATGAATCGCTGGTCAACTAAAATATCACAAAACATTTTATTGTGTTTGGTTATCTGTGTACTCACCTATCGGACAATGCGATCATAAATAAGTATTTTATTGGCTCCCGGTCTTTGGAAAACCAAAGAAATATAACAATATTTAAGAGAAAATGTAATATCTTTACAAAGTTAAGCTCACGACTAGATAGATGAAAATTAATAATTCAAACGATAACATATTTTAAAATTTTTTTACTACAAATTTATTGAATTAAAAACATATGTTGCCATTTGAAAACGCGAACTTAGAACCTTTTTATCGTATAAGGGATGGAGATATAAATTTTCAAAGTATTGAAAAATATAGTAAAGCTTATAACTAAAAGAATAGAAAAAAAATAATTTTCAAAATATTTATATTTTCCGAGAAAATGAGTGTCTTACGTTAGTTGGATCACCCTGTATATATATATTGATAAAGGATAGGGCGGAGGCAACTGACGAGATCTGAGGACCTAATATCATATACAAATGTTATATTTACTTTTGTAACAATAAGACGTCAATTATAATGCTACATAATATAATATGAATTAAAAAATGTTTTAGACTGTTAGCGACTTTTTAGAATTAATTTTTGATTTTTTTTTTTTAACTACATATTGAGATAACCAAATCTATCGAAATTCATAATGAAAAATAAAACGTAACGCACAAGCATAGCATTTTTACGTTTAACAGTACGACCAAGTGTTTAAAGCGTATACCAACGTATTTTATCAATACAACTGTCATCTAAACTAGACCTATCGAAACTACTGACTAAAAACAATTTTGACACATTTTTATATCTCATACTATATGAATGAACAAAATATATCAGTATTAAACTAACTGGAATTGTTTTGTTTAAAGTAATGCTCCACGGGTACGATGGTATTTAAAAAATGTACAAGCCGATATTATTTATATTCAAAGTATTGAAAACATAAATGTGGGACTTACTATTTCAAACGAGTTTCTCTCGGAGTCGGCATACTTATATTGTTGATCTGTGAAGCATAATGATCCACGCCCCTTAAAAGCTGAAGTCGTACGCACCATTACATCTTTCGTGAGACCTACGCCTTCTACTAACAATGTAATTTCGACGTATTGGTTTTTATCGACGATGGTAAAGTTGACAACGTTTGCTGATAGCACGGCATAAACATGGTCGTCGTGAGTATATTTGTGTTGAAGCCCACATCCACCCGTGGCGGTACCAATGTCCAACCAAAGCGATAGCACTGCAACCGATATGACAATATAGATTTTGAACATGATGACGTTGTCGAATACACACAAACGAAACTGTTTTTATGATGGGAAATTCACTAAAAATGGGCAAAAGAAATTCGTGACCGAACGAGTAAAGCCATCGTGATCGAATGACGATTGCCAGAGCTGGTGTGTGACACAAACCTCAGCCGACCCCTCTAGTAATAATTGTTTGACAGGCAAAGTCGTCCTGACAATTATTGCCGTTTATTAATCCATCTGCGAGAAACGCTAGTATTCATCGACCCTTCAATTTATCAACGGGTTCCCTTTGTTGGTATATCCGTTTGACCTCGTTTCCAGACCGGGACAATTAATACAAATTGAGCAGTGTGCATAAGCTATAATAATCTTTATTTTGATTTCTATAGCGTCGTATTTCCCATTGTCTGAACACCGGAGGCCCCGTCGGTGCAGTGCAACCGGCACAGAACGAGTCATCGCAAAACATGTACTATTTCACATAGGTCTTTAAAAAACGTTTTTTATAAGTCACATACAGTCGCTTGTTATTACAAAACAAAATAATTTTATAAACTTCTGTGCTTTGTTTAAATAACATACATTATTTCAATGGGTAGCAGTAAACGTATGTGTATTTCCTAGCGATTGGCAAAACTCAAAATGTTTCACAGTCTTGCGATGATAATATTATTTACGTAGAAAGCTCTACATGAGTTACAAGTTTTTGTTGATAAAAGTAACGGTGCTAAAACAATTAAGGTACCATTATACAAAATTTAAAGCAAAAAGAGTATCTATGCGAATATTTGAAAAAAAAATACACTAACATTCATAAAACCATACTGCTATTGAATTTCACTTACTGTATTAGTGTTTGTAACAACGCTTTAAATGCTATGTATGCTTTAATATCGCTAAACTTAAAAAACAAACTTGATTCGAAAATATACAATATTGTTGTTAATGAAATGCATTAATTCTGCTCTCCATGGTTAATTTATAAATATTTATTCAGTATTTAGAAGCCACACTTCTAAACACTACGCTATATCGTTGTCAAGCCACATACCGACCGCAGGCCAACTAAACTGTAAGAACAAAAGCGGAACCACGCCATAATGAATAAACGTAATTACTCTATTGTTGAAATCGGGTATTGCAAAGACCAGACATGAAACATTGTCTACTCTTTCAACTTTGACTGGTTAATCACAGACTATTAGAATCAAAATTATGTCTAAATATATAAATATATATATAATATATCAAAACAATGACTCCTAGAATTAAAAATTTATAATATTGTTTCTACATTAAATTTATATTTAATTCACAAATATTATTTTAAAAGGGAACTAGGGATGGAACTTCACTCATTTTGTTCAATCAAATGTGTTGAATTTTGTTCTTTATAATCTTGGGCTAGTTATGGTAACTTCAATATTTTTTAAACATATATTCTGCTAAATGCAGCTTTTTCTAATTTAAAAAGCAGTGAAAAATATCTTGCTTATTTTTAAAAAAAAAAACTAAAAACATTTTCTGATGCTACCATGAGTTTTTAATTTCTAAAATATGGAACATATGAAACGAATCCAAATTTTTAAACGTTTTCATTTTCAACAGATGTTGTTTATGAAATCGTTATTATAATTAATTAATGTAATAATATTATTAAATATTAAGTACTATCTGAATATAAGATTATTATATAACAATATAAATACTATGCAAGAAATTTAAAAATTAAAATTTTCATTTCTATCTTGGAAAAAAGTAATAAGAAATATAAATTTGGGTAAACCTTCAATAAATTGAGGTATGCTATTCAGAATCGAATTTTTTGTGAATTTTCACATTAACTGTGCACCTGGAACTGTGTTGATCCTATCAAATCTTCGCCTCCTCAAATATTTTACTTGCTTAACCTTCTTTTATAACCGAATTAAGTTTTTTGAAGAAAAAACAATTTTCCGTGTTCATATCTGGAACTTATGACCTTTCAATATGATATTCTAATTTTTATTTTTAATGCTTAGAAGTTACAGGTATGTATTAGATATTCTAATTTTAGCTTCGATGCAAAGCGAGAAGGTATTGGTTTTACTCTGATGTGTGTTTTTTTTTATCTGTATACACTGTAACTTCTTTAATACTGGACCAATTCTTTCGAATAGCAACTCTATAAATCGCAATTTTCATCTAGTTGGTACTTTGGGGGAGGGGGGGTAAAAGTTGAAAAAGTTTAATTCTTCACAGACGAAAGTTGAAAAAACAAAAAAAAAACCGTACGAGTTTTTAAGTAAGAACTTTTACTGGCTATAATTTCGAGAAAAAGAGTCGGATCGAGTTAAAATGTATAAGAAATAATTATTTAGTATGCCCGCACACGTCAGTTGTGTCAAACTTAAACTATACCCATTTTCCACCCCCCTAGGGGGGGTACAATTTTTTTTGTTTTTCTGGGTTTTTAGCGGTAATTTTAAAAATTTTGGGTTGAAAATTTGGCAGTAGTTGGAACTCATATGTACCCATAACATATTAAACGGGAAAAAAATTCGGCACTACAGTTTTTTTTTAATTGCCGGGAAACTGTGTTTTCGCAGACATCGTATATTTTAACAAAAACATCTTAAATCTTTAAAAAAAATTGATCAAATCATTAAAACAATTTTATTTATATCTATGCAGAATGATACTATTAGGTTTTGTGCTCAAGTACCACTCTTGACTTAAAGTTTACACAAAGTTCATTTTTTTTTTTTTACTTAAGTTCTTTCCGGATGATTAAAATTGAGAACTGATAACAAATTCGTACTAAAAACCCAGTGTACCAGATGTGAGAAACGAACAGACACTAAAAACTATCAGTTGGTAACGTCTATCCGTGTTAGATTAGGTTAGGGCCCAATGAGCGGTATCATAACATTGTGTTTATTACATGATATCACATGCGACTAAATCGTGTAACTGATTATAGTAGACACTCGATTTATTTGAAAAAAAACGATACGACAAAACCACTGTCGATATCTCGTTATTTTATAGCCTGCGTTATATTACCGTACCGAAGGTCAACTATGAGTATATAAGGTCCAACTACCTGCAAATTATGAAGAGGACTGTTGTTTTTTGGATTCAGATTAAGTGTTGGTTTAGTAAGGAAAACTAATGTTTTGTATATTGTTATACTGTTATTCATTTAAAGAGATTCACGCTTGATTGTTTGAATTGTCTAATATCAGATAATCTGATTCGTGCTAATTTTAATTTTTTAGTTTATCAACTTGTAGCTCTAATTTTGTATAAAATATTTCATTATTTTATTACTATGTACTATTACTATTAGGATAAATTTTAATAATAATTAAGTCATAAAAGATAATATTTTATTTTATGACTAGATCAAATCTCGTGAACATCATGATACTGCTCCTATGCTATTATTAAAAAAACAAAATTTTTAAAATCTCCATAAAAGGTTATTGTTAAATAACAGGCAACAGCCGACCGCTAGTGGCTATACACGTTAGTAATATTTAACTAATAAGTAATATATGTAGGTAAAATTTATTGTTTTCTCCATCACAGTACCAGTATACGATTTATTTAAATTTAAATGTAAGAAAATCGATTTTTCTTTAGAAAATAACAAGAAATTAATATACAGGATGAGGCAGTAAAACGGCGATTTTCTAATGTATTTAAATGGTAAAACTCGTTTCACTATCCCACCCTTTACATTTTAAGTATCTATGAAAAGGTTTTTTTTAGTTGCATTTTATTTTGTACATTGTCAATCTAGTAAAATAGAAGTATAATATAGCTTTGAAATAATATAATCTATGAAGTATAAATAGTTTGTGTGAGATTGCTTTAATGGAAGTATATAATACATAAATATTAATTTTATTGAGAATAAGCGATTATAATTTAAACTATGGAGTACAAACGATTGGAACATGAATCGTCGACCATTCCAACAAAATATAACAAGACATTGTATATGTGTTATTTGGTCCACTAAGTTTTTGCAAAAAAAAAAAAACCAGTACAGTGGGGTCGGTGCATAGTGGGGACGGAACATAGTTGGGTCGGGGCATACTGGGGATGGGAAGGTCACAGGTTTACAGAAATTTTTAAATCTGAAAGTGATAAAATCACTTTCGAAAAAACGCTTCGATGCAAATCGGTAGTTAGTATTTTCAAGCCAGTACAGTCCAAACCAAGCACAGTATAAACCAGCAAAGTTAGAAAGTTTTAAATGAAGGTTCTGTATTTACAAATGAGCATCAAAGCGTTTATTTGAAAGCGATTTTATTCAATTTTATCACTTTTATTTATAATAATTCTTGTAGACCTGTGACCTCTCCGTTTCCTCATTGCTTTGATTACATTATGCCAATACTCTACAGTACTAGTCCTCTCAGATAAAATCACTTTCAAATTAACGCTTTGATGCTCATTTGTAAATACAGAATCTTCATTTAAAACTTTCTAACTTTGCTGGTTTATACTGTGCTTGGTTTGGACTGTACTGGCTTGAAAATACTAACTACCGATTTGCATCGAAGCGTTTTTTCGAAAGTGATTTTATCACTTTCAGATTTAAAAATTCCTGTATACCTGTGACCTCCCCATCCCCAATATGCCCCGACCCAACTATGTTCCGTCCCCACTATGCACCGACCCCACTGTACTGGTTTTTTATTTTTAATGCTTATAAGTTACAGCTATGTCCATTGGAATGGACATTGGGATTTACGGTTTAAAATAATACGAGAATGCCAAATACAGGGTCCGGCAAAAAAACCTCCCTGATTTCAAAAGGCAATTACAAACTAACAAACAAAGATCCAGAAAATTTTTTTTTATTTTTGAGTTACAAATTCTATGCCATTTTTCATTAAAAAAAAAATTACTTGGTTTTAAAC